ATTTGCATGGTTCATTTTGTTTTCAAATGAAGTAAATTATTACTTCGTGGTTCACAGAAAGACTTTCCAAGGACAGCTGTAGCTGACTACAATTCTAATCCTTTAAAAATGAAAAACTTTTGCTTATAGTAATAAAATCAACAGTTCCTGTTTGCCATTTCCCCTGCCACTGTCCTGGTATATACATAGGCCAGTGATGTACCTACCCTGCCTCTGAAACTCTGAGAAAAATGAGAGGAATAATTAAGGGATGTCCTTAAGTCATATTTTACCCAAATGATTAATCTGTATCTATTAGAGTATTTGGTATGCTGAGCTACTGTGCTTTGGGTGTGTGCCTTCCAGAATACAAGTGCTGAGAATGAATGGACACTGAGATAGTTTTAAAAGGTGAGGCCAGGGCTGGAGTGATGACTCAATGGTTAAAAGCACTGGCTGCTCTTCCAGAGGTCCTAAATTCAATTCCCAGTACCCACATGGTAGCTCACAACTGCTACAGGATCTGATGTCCCATGGTATCTGATGCTCTCTTTTGGTGTGCAGATGTACATGAAGACATACCACCCATGTACATAAAATACATAAACAAATACGTTTTAAAGAAATGAGGACATCTCCTTTGTGAATAGGATGGTGTAGTGGTTTTGATGAGGTTTGATGCAGCTGTGGCTTTCTGTCCCATTTATCATTCTGGTGTATGAATATATAACACTTTCCCTCGCTAAAAGCCACATGTCAGAAAGAGAGACTGTCCTTCATCAGATACCTAACCCATTGCCTTGAATGTACACTGCAAACCTCTAGAACTATGAGATCTGAATTTCTTTTCTTTATAAATGCTTTATTTATTTATTTATTTGTTAATTAGTCAGCTAGTTTTATATATATATGTGTATATATGTATATGTATATATATATATATATAATGAATTGTGTGTGTGTGTGTGTGTGTGTGTGTGTGTGTGTGTGTGTGTGTGTGTGTGTGAATTGTGGCTGCCCCTGGTAGTTTTATTTATTTATTTATTTTTATTTATTTATTTATATGTGTGTACATGTGCATGAGAGGCCAAAGGTTACCCTTAGTTGTTCCTCAGGAGCTTTCCACCTTTTTTTTTTTAGGTAGATCTTTTATTGGCTTGGAACTAGACAATTTGGTTAAGATGACAGACAAGCAAGCCTGGTAGATCTTGTGTCTCTTCAGTGCTGGGATGACAACTCCATGCCACCATGCCTGTCTTTTTATGTGGATGATGAGGATCAAACAGTGTCTTAGTTATTGTTCTGTTGCTGTGAAGAGAAACTATAACCAAAGCAACTGTTATAAAAGAAAAAAAAACATTTAATTGGGGCTTGCTTCAATTTCAGAAACTTAGTCCATTATCATCTTGCAGGCAGCCAAGGTTTGGGGAAAATAGCTAAGAGTTCTTCAGAAATGAGAGGGGGGGGAGAGAACTAGAGAGAGAGATTATACCTGGTGTGGGCCTTCAAAACTTCAAAGTGACACACCTCATCCATTAAGGCCATATCTCTTCCAAAAAGGTCTCATCTCCTAATTTTTCCCAACAGTCCAACAACTTGGAACCAAGAACAGAAATATGTGCACCTATGGGGGCCATTTTTATTCAAATCACAACACCCAGAGTCTTGATTTTTTTTTATGGCAAACTCTTTCAGAGTTCTCTCCCCAACCCTAACCTACAGTATTTTGTTACAGCATTACAAGCAGACTAAAACATGAGCTCTGTCCAAAGAAGAAAGACCTAGGTGATTTTTTCTTCTATTCATTGGAACCAGAATGGGGAAGATGGCTTTGATTGGAAAGTAAGCAATGGAGTCTGAAGCTGAGGAGAGATATGATAGAAGATGCTATGTACACAAGGGTTATATGATAGGCCTTAAGTAAACCCAAACTGTAAATTAGAATAATATGTAGAAAAAATACAAAAACTTGAAAGGATAAAAAACAATATGTGAAGTTGGGTTACACAGGCAATGGAACACTTCTGTGAGATCTCAGTGAGACTGAAGGAACTGATATTGCCTTTATTATCTTGTATTGACAGGTTCAAATAAGCTCTGTGGCTCAGGATGGCACCTCTTTTACCAGAGACCTAGTCAGTTTTCTGGGTCACCTGGCTGTATTCCAGCTTACCTAGTTCCAGGTTAAAAGCTCTACATTGAAACTACTATCCCCAACATTCTTTTCATTTATATTTCCTTGACATCGATTTCCAGTGATGCTATAGATGGGGCAGGCTTTGGTACAGGTTTGCAATGAGAACTCCTAAATCTCACAATCTTTACTACTCTATTTCCCTCTGTCCACCTCTCCTTTGAATAATGTCCTTGTTAATGGTCAAAAAAAAGCTAAACAAAGGAGATTAGATACAGGGTTCTTATTTTTAAAAAGAAAAAGAAAGAAGCTACTCTGACAAAAGGAAGATATAGAAATGATAAGATAAAAGGTAGATTTTTGGATCTACTAAAAAAAGAATAGGGATATGATAAGATAAAAAGGGAGATTATTGAATCTACTTTTAAAAAGGAACTACTTGTTTTAAATAGGATAAGTAATGAAAATTTTTTATCTGATTTTGTGAAATGTTAATGGACTGGACATGGTTATATATTAATGGAGTTCTTTGAATCTGTCAAATGTTAATGGACTAGACATTGTTAATGTAATTCTTGACTGTATATATTGTATATACTTATTGGATATAGTTTTCTTGTATTAGTTATAAGCTTTTTCAAATTTTAGAGAAAAAAGAGGAAATATGGTAATATTGTGTCCCCCAATATATTGTGTACCTTAATAAACTTATCTGGGGTCTGAGAACAGAACTAAAAAAAAAATTCCAAACACCTGTTGAATTCAATGTTATTCTCACATTCCAGGACAAAGATGGTGAATATCTTGCCTCATGTCACCAAACGTTCCCCCTAGGAAGTATTTGTCCCAGGACTTGAACTTAGTTGCTACTGCAAGGCTCTTATCTATAAGCTAGTGGACCTCCTAAAGGTCATTAGTAGAGAAGATATTTTGGATAAGGTTGGGGGGCAGTCCATGGCTCAAAAGGCTAAGTTCAGCTACTCATCCTTAATATGCCAATTAAAAGTGTCAAACTGATAATGGTATGGTATTTTGAATAAGAATGACCTCCATAGGCTTATAGATTTGAAGACTTGGTCATTAGGGAGTGGTGCTACTTGACAAGGATTAGGAGGTGTGACCATGTTGGAGAAAGTGCACCACTGGGGGTAGGTTTTGAAGTCAAATGCTCAAGCCAGGCCCAGTATCTATTTCTCATGCCTGCTGATACAAATGTAGAACTCTCAGCTACCTCTTCAGTGCCATGCCTGCTTACATGTTTCCAGCCATGACAATAATGAACTAAACCTCTGAAACTGTAATCCAGCCCTAAGTAAATGTTTTCCTTTATTAATAGTTGCCATTGTCATGATGTCTCTTCACAAGAACAAAATGTTACTATGACAAATGGAAAGCAGAATAAGGAAATTTATTCAATGAAGCCACACAGGGAAGAGAGACAAACAAATCCATCATCTCTCCCAAGTGTATCTTCCAGTGCCTGAAGTGAGATCAAAATTTAAATTGAGGGTCAAGGATATGCACTTTTAAGCAGTTCAGGTCCTGGTGGGGTCCCACCCATTACTGGCTAATCATTGACTAGGGTTCAGTCTCATCCTATAAGCTAGTTCAACAACTGTGTGAAATCTCTTTTTCTCTGGCTGGGATACTTTACTTTTCCCAGCATGAAACTCATTGAGAAATTTCCATTTATTTGGGACCCATTGTTTCAATAATGGGATAGATTGAGAGAAATCCTTCATGTCTGCCTGGTCGGTTATTATGCAAAGAGCTGCCTCATGTCCTGAAGTTCCCATTATTCCCTCTTTTCTCTTTTGCCTTGTTGCAGTCATTCTTTCTGCATATAGAGATCATGTTTTCTGCCTAAGAGCTATTTCACACATATTTTTTAAACATTGCTTGTAGTTTTATCTTTACTCCCCTTTGTGTTAGGGTGATTTATGGATATCCACACACACTGTCAGCTTGTTCCTACCTTGAGAAACAGGATGATATTCTACTTGTATAACACCTAAAGCACTTAGCGTCATGCCTGTTCTTTTTTGTTTATTTTGTTTTTGGTGTGTGTGTGTGTGTGTGTGTGTGTGTGTGTGTGTGTGTGTGTGTGTGTGTGTGTTTGGTTTTGTTTTTTTGATACAGGGTTTCTTTGTGTAGCCATGGCTGTCAAGTCACTCACTCTGTAGACCAGCCTGGTCTCAAACACAGAGATCTGCTTACCTCTGTTTTTCAAGTGCTGGGATTAAAAGCATGCACTATCATCAACCAACTTAGCATTATGTCTTATATATTGTTGCTGTTCACTGAAATGTTAAGTTTTGATTCTAAGGCCTTTTGTGCTGTCTTCCATATTTATGTTTTTTATCAAATAACAGTAATTTTATAACAATTATTATATTCACTGATGAACATGAGCTAATGCATCACTACAGTCCTACATGCTAAGCAGTAGATCTTCAGAAATTGACATACTGGTCAATAGTGGTTATTTCTGATAATGCTGATTATATATTGTATGTAGGACTTTCTATGAAGAAAAAAGCTCAAGAAATAAGTAGTCTTTACCATCTAGGCTGTCTTCTTGACTTATCGTCTGCTGGCACGGAGCAGAATATTTGGTCATAAATGTTTAGATTAAAGGAAGTACTGGTAATTTACTCTTCTTTATCTCTCTAGCACTTATTAGATAAACAATAGCAGTGCATTCATGAGACTATGAAAAGGCTGGAAAACAGAAAACAATGGGACAAAACCTGTCTAATTGTGAAGTTCGTTATCATGTTCAACCAACCAACATCCCCAATAAGAGGCAATAATCAAACTTTATAATTACTTGTAATGATATGTATGTATAAAATAAATTTGTACACATAGTATCTTATATTTCCAGGTTGAAAAAGCAGAGACTAAACAGTGTCCCTGACCAGTCACAGAAACAAGCCTAAGAAAAAACAAGGATTTTATGCTATGATGGAATACTCAGATGAACAGCAATTTAGAGGAGAAAGATTGGGCTGCAATCACTGTTTGTGGCATTGCTCTGTGGAGATCTCTGCCTCAGAACCACAAGGCTGTGAGACAGAAACAGCCTTCTCTTTTATCTTCCTGAAAGTAGGCTTCTTGAGCCAGGCTAGAGAATGACCCAGGTCTTTTCACATCAAGACATTGAGTGCAAACAAAAAGCATTGGGATCCTTGGGGGGCAGTGTGCATGACACACACTTTAAGCTCCTAAGGACTGTAGTGGGTAGCTATTCCAGCTTTGACCTGGAAGTACTACCCCCATTGAGGCTTTGGTAACTGCATACAAGGCAGGGCTGAGGCAGGAGCCCTTAAGACCCAAGATCTGGATGTGCTGGCTGGCTCTCTTGGTTCCTGGATCCTGGACACTGGAGGTAGACTGAGCAGAGTTTTCCAGAGAACACCGCTCGACTGTGCTATACCTTTCCTGGACCTTGTAACCCATCCCTTTACTTGTAAGTTACCCCACAAAATAAACCTCCCTTTTAACTACATGGAGTTGCCTTAATACAACCAATAGAGGACATGTTGGCCAATTAGTCAATGGGGAAAGAGTGCCATGCAGATTACTGTCAATCATTTTATCGTCCCTTTTTGTACTTTTTATTTAGAGAAGAAATAATAATCCAATATTCTCCATCTAGAATTCTTGAATAATTTGCAATTCAATCCTTATAATATGCTATATTTTAGACACTATATTCTGTTTTCCTGGACTGTCTGGGAATTGGATTATCTGATAACTTTTATGCATTAAAGAGAAAACAAGAAACTTGGGTTGGTTATTGCCAACCAAAGAAAATCAAAACATTCTTTTGGGCTACTTTTAAGTGATTGCCTCATCTCCCATAGCTTTCCAAACTACATTTAAAATGTCAGAACTTTGTAGAAGACTAAATCTGAAGTTTAATGTCTTGCAACACAAGTCAAGCTTCTAGCAGAAAGAGATCCTGGGATCAGGGTTGAGATCTTTAGACAGAGAGACTCAAGAACTGGAAATTCTGCCTCCTTGTAAATTTCTGCACTGAAGAGTGAAGCTTCTTCTTGACCATCATGGACCAGGTCACATCAAAAACTGGTGCCATGCTAGGAAATGTTCTTTTTCTTTAGAGTCAGTCCTTACCTTCTTCATAAACATTCAATTCAGCAGGGACATACTTAAGCATGAGCTGACAGAGAAAATGAAAGTTCTGCTAGATATGAATGGAGGTTATAGGAACTTAGTGGCTTGGAGATTATGCTGTGATAAAGCAAGATAATGCACAGGTTCTTGCATCTTCTATTCTTATTGAAGCTATTTCGTGTTTAACAAGAATTTTATGTCCTTGATGAAGAAACCCATGGAAAATTACACAACCCTATTTAGGGACCAAAGTTCACACTGTCCTAGGTAAATTATCTTAGCTTCTGTCAAACAACCTATTTATAAGGAACCTAGCTAACAACTTATCTTAGCTTCTATTAAAATTGCTTACTTCTGTTAAGCCCCCCTGTGCAGATATTGAGTGAGATGCCAGGAGTTGGTTTCTGCCTTTAATAACCCCATGTTTTTGACATTCCTAAGATGGGAGGGATATAAAGTTTGCTAAGGTAGGTTTTAGTGAAATGAGTGGCTCTTTCCACTTTGGAAGTTGATACCCTCATGTTGAGAAATGTTCTCTATGATATGATAGCAATTGTAAATTTGGAGAAAGCAGTGGCTAGATTAATGAGTAATTTTCATCATAGAAAATTTACAAATAAGTCCTTTCAAAGAAATCCTCTAAATCACTCTGTTCTTTGCTGCAAACAGTGTTTTGACATATTATTTCCTGTACGTGTATTAGGCTGAGTTTTCTAGAGGAACATAATCAACAGAATGTAGCTATATTATAAAAAGTATTTATTGGATTTATTTATAGGATAGGGGATGAGTAGTTCAACAATGGTAGCCTGTGTGAACAAAAACTCCTGAAAAGAAGCTGCCTCTGGCTGTGGATGGAGAACAGAAAACCCCTGAAAGGAATCTGAAATCATAAATCTCATTAATCTTATCAATAAAAACCAGGAGTCAGATATCAGGGTAAAAACCTGAAAGATCAGAGAAGCAGAGGAGCAGCCATCAATGACTTCATACCTCTTCTGTTCCTCTGATCAAAAGGGCTGAGATCCTGCCTCAGCCCCCACTTACCACTCCCTGTCCATCTCTCTACAGTCTTCAAAACCTCTATGGTTAACTAGTAGCTAGCTCTGCCCTCTGACTCCAAGCAAACTTTATTTATCAAAATACAAACAAGATATCATATAGCAGAATCCATCTGCAGAGACTGATTAGAATTTCAGTGCACTGGAGAGACTGGAATGCTGCAAGTCCAGAGGCTAATTACTTTATCTTGAGCTAGATTCTGGCCCTCCAGAAAAAGCCACCCACCCTCTGTCAGAACGAACTCTTATAATTTAAAAATGGCAGACAAGATTGGACAGATACATCATGTGACATGGCTCATATGGAGGGTTTATTGGAAGGGTGGGGGAGAAGGAAAAGATTCATAGTCCAGCCCCTGGAGATAAGAGCTGAGAAGGAAGGAAGGCAAGGGCCTGCCTTTTATGAGGCAATGTAGTGCATGTGCACAGAGACCACATAGCAAAACACATGTGTACAGACTACATAGTGAGGTAGGGGCCATAGGATCCTGGGCTGGCCAATATAACTGCCTGAGTACTGACAAGTGCATGTGTATCCTGCCAGGTCTCCAAGGGCAAGCCAGTGCTGGTGCCTGAATGCTAACGTTCCTCCCTGTTGTTTACTCTAAAAGGTGAGGAAATAGAAACAGGTGGCAGGTGAAGTGGGAATGAGGGCACCAAGTTCTTGAGATTGCTTTCTTTTGACCTGAAGGGTATCAGCATCTTTGGGGGACCTGAGAAGATTGGGATGCTGAGATGGCATCTTGGGATAGCTGGTTGTTTCACTGCTGTCCATGCTTTGTGGGGACCATCTGACAGTGCTTGGACCCAGCAAGATGCTGTCAGAGCAGAAGATAAAAATTTAGCCAAATTTTTTTTTATTTTCTTAGGTCTTCGTAATTGAGGGAGGGGAGTCTTAAAACCAGGAAAAGGTGAAGGGGCTCAGGCTGTTGATTGATAGTACTTAATTGAGGAGTGCATCTGAACTGTTCAAGGTGGATCTAAGTTGACTCTCTGGAGCTTACAAGAATTCTTTGAGTTTGTGAAAAGATATTTTAGACACATTAGCATTCCCACTGTTTATAATTCATAGTGAATTTTACATTGTAGAAACTCATGCCTTTGAGTCATAAGGGACCCAGAAATGATTCTGATTGAAGACATTAACACTCTCTTTCTATCCAGAAAACTGTGACAAATGTTTATAGCACAATGAAAGGCACCTTTTAAGTCTATAGTTAGAAAACAACCAAAGGGAATTTAAAATCCTGAGCTTGTGGCTATGATCATTTAATGGTAATATGATGCTTAGTACTGTGCCATTAATAGCTTATCAGAATTCCATCGGTTAATGTTAGGGCTATGGACTGTTGGTATCTTAATGTACCAGTAGCATATCGAGAAAGAGAAATCTGGAACATGTTCTATTCTTTTATACATCTCAAATCACTTTTTCCATATCACAACTTAAGCTTTTCTATCTTCACATGAATAAACCTTAAAGCACCCTCTTTTTATCTAATTTTCCAGGAGATACAGGTGGCTAACTACTGAGAGTAGTCACTGCAAAGCAAGTTCCTTAAATAAAGGAATCGTAAGAAGTTACATTGAAATCTGTTTTGTGAGTTTATTTCTTTTTTCTTTTTTTTGTTTTTGTTTTTGTTTTTTTGAGACAGGGTTTCTGTGTAGTTTTGGTTCCCATCCTGGCTCTTGCTCTGTAGACCAGGCTGGCCTTGAACTCACAGAGATCTTCCTGGCTCTGCCTCCTGAGTGCTGGGATTAAAGGTGTGCACCACCACCACCTGGCCTTTTTTTTTGAGTCTTGTAGCAAGGTAAACTGTGTATAGACTTAGCATTCACTCTAAGAGGGTGAGGCCTGTTATCTGAATTTTACACAGAGAACTGAGAAGGCAGCAGAAGCCTTGTTTCTGCTTTTAAACTGACAAAGCTAATACTAGCCTAGTCATCAAACAGTATCAGAGTTCTGAGAAGGATAAATTTTACCCAAGTTAGTGATTAAAAATGGCAGAGACTTACTTGCTGCCTATCTAGACAGCGACCCCAGAGTCCTCCATGGTTGTTGAGGGAAAAGGCCTTAGGGCAACATCAGTCTTCCACTGCTAGGTCCAGAAGATCTGACAGACTTTCCTATGGAGTAGGAACTTATAGGAGGGCCAGTCTACCTTGTCTAGGGAAAATGTGGCAATCAATTCCCCAGTGTCCTGTTGTTTATGGTCTGAAGAGGGTCTTGGCAGCAGCTAAGGTGAAAGATGGTTTTTGCTTGGTGGCTGGCATTGTGTGTTTGAAGCAAGTTCTGGGTGGAGGTACTTCTGTGCCCATCCATCTTCTTTGGAGGAAATAGGGGTGCTAGCTGGCATGTCTCTCTATCACAATAACCTTTTAAATTAAACATTTTAAATGCCACATTCTGCAGATCTCTGAGCATTTGAGGATTGTTTGTCTATTAGGTATATCTTAATAGACAAACTTTCTTTCTAGTTACTTGTTTTAAGCTTAACTTTGAAAACATATATAGGGGGCCAAGTAAGGCTTATTCCTGTAATTAATTATATCAGTACTTAGTACAACTACAATTAAAAAACTTGATCATTTGTAAGGATGACTATTTACTTGTATTCTCTAACAGTCTTCCATATGTTAGCAGCTTTCGTAAGACTAGGACTTTATGTTCCATTCCTGTCAGGTTTAGCCCCAAAAATAATGATTTTGAATTGAAGCTTTTCTACTGTCAAAATAAAACCCTCTGTTCATAGATAATGTGCTCAGGAAAGAAACCAAAATAGCCATTCCATGGGTAAAAACAGAACAAGTTTGTATCAAATTGTTAAGGCTGTCTCCTGCAAAGGCAAGGAAAAGTGAAAAGGGAAAGATCCCAGGTGAAATGGGAACAGGAGAAAGAGGCTTGTGAGTTGGTATGTGACCCATGAGCAGGAACTGAGGGAGCACTGAGGCCAGCACTGCCTTTGAGGGCCATGGGGGCCTCTGCCCAAGTGCCCAAATCTGGGAAATAGACCCTCCTGGGGGAACAGACATTCTATTATAGAATATATACCTTATTTATCAAACACATGTTCCTACTTATTTATATTCTCTAGAAGCTTGGTGTTGAACAGTTGGCAGAGAAATAAGTACTTAGGTGTAAATCTCTAAGTCAGTTTTTGTTAATCTGCATAGATCTTTGTAAGTAAATTTGTTGCAACTCTGTGGGTTTGGTCCCAGGTTTTGGCACCAAAATGTGAGTTTTGCAACTCTGGGGAAAGGTATCCTGACTACCTGGGGAGTAAGGCAACACCTTGAGCTACTTAGGACAGCTCTGATGGCTGGAGCTTCAAAGAGACAGCTCAAACCTGGAGGACGAGGTATCCCGGACACCTTGAGCTGCTCAGGACAGCTCAGCCCTGGGGGTGTCCCAGACACCTGGAGCTGCTTAGGACAGCTCTGATGGCTGGAGCTGCAAAGAGACAGCTCAACCCTGAAGGGAAGTTTTTCTGACTTCTCAGGAGAGTCTGACCTGGAAGTGTTTCAGCAGGGAAGGGTATCCTGACTATTCAGGAAAGTCAGGCCTGGTGCTGCCAGGAGTTCTGCAGGGAAGGGTATCCTGACTGTTCAGGAGAGTTAGGCTATACCTGGTGTAATGAGGGATGGTCTCCCTGCAAGATATAGCAATCCTGCTCCTCTCCTGGAGAGCTGCTACAGCTGGGCTTTGCTCAGCCCCCACTTAAGGGGGCTTCCTAGCAGAGCTCTGCTTCTTCAGCCTATGTCGTTGCTTCTTTTGCTTCACTCTGCAAAAGGACAAACCCCTGCATAAATGTAGCAATGTCTCCGGCTCCATTGAAAATTGTTACTTTTTCAGCTTTCTCTTGCTCTGTCCTTTGAGGGGTATCTCAACAAGGATTTTCTGTTCAGCTACTCCTTGCTCTGTCCACTGAGGGACATCTCAGCAAGGATCATCTGTTTAGCTCCTCCTTGCTCTGTCTACTGAAGGATGTCTCAGCAAGGATCTTCTCTATGCCAGTGAATAAAAATCTTCACACCCAAAACTCTTTTGAGAAAGAGATTTATTGGGGAAGGAGGAGTCCAGGAGAGTAGCTGCCTCTACCAGGGTGGAGAGAACAGCCTACAACTGACCAGGCAGGGCAGTTTATATAGGAGGTTTTGGGGACAGAGTCAATCAGTGATTGGTTAGATTTTTTTCTGCCCAGGGATTGGCCAGTTTTGTGAGCTAGGGACAAAGATGGCCCTGATTTCAGAGCCAAACTGTGTTTCTTTCACTGGCCTTTCTTGGCTTTTTGACACTAATTCTAAGGGCAGGGCACATTTCTTTCACTGACTGATTCTAGGGATGAAGAGTGTTTCTTTAGTGCTGGTTTCAGAATCATAGCAAGTTTCCTTGGTTCTGGGTTTGGGGATAAAGTGTTCATTTCTCTGGCTCAGGTCCCAAACCCAGGCTGTATTTTTTTCCCTGGTTCTGGGCCCCAGGGCCAGGGTTCTACTGTCCTGCTCTGTGATTGGTTGGTTTCATAATTTAGTTGGCCAGGGCCAGAGATCACTCTGATTTGATCCAAACTGTGTTTCTTTCACTGGCCTTATCTGAGCCATCTTTCCCTAGTTCTGGATTGCAGGGTCAGGGTTTCTTTACCCATCCCCTTTTCCCTATAATCTCCATAATCTTAAATTTTTATCACCACATAGCTAATATTTTAAACAAGGGTTGAATCACACATACAATATGTTGTAACAGATCTAACCATATGTGTTTATCATCATTCAAAAAATTCCATACCAATCCAAAATATTTCAGACTTGTTGTTTTCTTAGTCTAAAAGGAGATAAAGTGAACAGAGAGCGAGCACATTAGGATTAAGAAGTGTATGTACTCTTTAACCTTAGTAAAATATGGCTGCCAGCCATGTGGCTGTCTACATCATGATGAGGTCACCAGCCAAGATGGAAGAGAGCCACATGGCTGCTGTTTAAAATATGTTTTTCTAAACAATAGATACATGCACATGCATACACAGTTGAATCCAAGTTACATTCACATATACACAAAGTTAAAGCTAGCTTACATGCACACACAGAGTTAAATTCAAGTCACATACATGTACACATACACACACACACATATATATCATAAACAGGAGTTGAATAAATTAAAGAAAGTGAAAAACAGTGTGTGCTGAGTTACATGAAGATGGCTTCTCTATCTCTGACTCCTGTGTTGCAGCAGACCTAGGCAGAACATTTAGAGGGGGAGATCAAACAAACACAAGTAGGTCTTTTAGCAAAGAAAAAGTAAGAGAGTGGAGAATTATTTTTTGGTTTTATGGCCTGCCTGGTCCAAGGAATACTGAGGCCAGTCTCATATCCAAGGGAATGGTTAGTGGCAGGTAGCCCCTGCCAGCGACCTAACTGCCAGTATTGGCTGGAAGGCAAAGCTGTAGGTGAACAAGAAAAGCAGACTTGTTGCAGATGGAAGAGAGAGGATCTGTTATGGATGGAGCAGGTAGGTAGGTAGGTAGGGTCCCAGTGTGAAGTGAGTACCTTTTGGCAGGCCCTGCTAAGGTATGCTACTAAGCAAACATGCCACATGCAATAGAATTAAAGAGATTTATTGGTGGGGGAGAGTGAAAGAATGAAAGAGTGGAAAGCTGCACTGGATTGGGGACTTGAGAGAGTCAGACAGATGAAAGGAAGAGAAGCAGGAGAGAAAAGAAGAGGCAAGAGAGGAAATTAGAGACAAAGAGAGGAGTAAGAAATAAGGCAATGAGAACAAGCTCTGCCTGGCAGGCCAGTGTCACATAGCTGGTGGTGGAAAGGAACCTGGTGACAGGTAATGATGTAATTGCTTTGGCAGAGGCAGGCTGCTTCTGCTGCCACTACAGAAACTAAGCAGGCTGCTGCTGCTACAGAAACTAACATTGGAATTCTTTAATGAAAGAAGCAGAGTTAGATGTGTAAGACCCCAGTTTTTTTCTCTATTTGAGAGAGTTCAGTTAATGAAAGGAGAAATGCAGCTTAACAGAATTTATAAAGAAGAAAGAATAAAGGGAGGGCTTGGATTGAAGATAAGAAAAAGCTTGAAAATAGGGTACCCTCTTCTATCTATTGGTTTGCTGGCAGAAGTTGCAAAAGTCCCATGAAATATCAGGATATAAGGTGCTGACAAGCAGTTATTTGAATTGATATCTAAGGAGTATAGGGACCAGGTTTGACTGCAAAGATGGTTAAGTTAAGCCTTTAAGTCAGGTGCTAGGTGTAGAGGTCTGCTGTTTGGGGAGCTTGCAGATATGGTGCTAGACACATTTCCCACGTGTGAGGTAGAGAAATAAGATCCAAAGGTCTGGAATTTCTAGCATCCTGGTGCAGGTGCCTGAATGCTAACACTAACATCCTGTGACAATGGGGGAAAAAGCCTTTTAGAATCTATTGACTTAGCAGACAAGTACCTTCTACCTATCTACAAGCTATGAATGCTATGACGTAGTGTCTTGAACTTTTGGAAAGCTTCCCCCATCTTGCTGTACCTGCCTCTCTGATGAATCTACCCACTAATGTATTTTAAAGGTGCCTTGAGTTATGATTTTTTTCTGCTGTGTAAAACTAAAATCTTTGTGAAACTGCTTCCATGTTGAAGCATGGAATTTAGAGTAGTCTAAATCTGTGTTTCTGTGTCACAGTCCCTCAAAATAATTCAAGAATAAATGATCTCTTATTCTCTTTAAGATGAGAGCTGTACTTTTTATATTGACAATTCTCAGGCCACAATGTAGGACCCAGAGAATGATCCACTTTTTACTGGAGGAATCACTTGAATAGAAACCAGGTACCTGCATGGACCATTGAATCCAGAACACCTGATTTTATTTCCTCAGGTGGATTTTTGCTGAGTTCTTTCCAGGGCTCAAGACTACCCTTTCTTTTGTCAGAGATCCATTTTGTTTATTCTGGGATGGTTAAGAAGTATCCTACTTTGGTAGATACCTTTTTGGTCTGTGTACATGAGCACATACTGAAACCATCAAACTGGACCACTCCATGGGTAGAAAGAAAAGTTTGTTTGGGCAAATTCAAAGCTGCCATGGCTATCTCTTGGGGAACAGAGCATGTAACAAAAGGCAAGGAAAGGCTTGCCAATTTTTTTTTTGTTTTGTTTTTCGAGACAGGGTTTCTCTGTGTAGCTTTGCGCCTTTCCTGGATCTCGCACTGTAGACCAGGCTGGCCTCGAACTCACAGAGATCCGCCTGGCTCTGCCTCCCGAGTGCTGGGATTAAAGGCGTGCGCCGCCACCACCGTCCGGCCAAGGCTTGCCAATTTTAAGGAAGCAAGTTCTGGGATATAGGTGGAGAGCTGGGGAGTGGGGAGGGGATGCAAGACAGAATAGCATGGAAGCTAGCACGGAGACTTTTATTTGTGTTGCAGATATATGTTAATAGGGAACTAGATACTCCATTGCCAGAAGTAGTTAGATACAGGAGCAGATAAGGGAGATGATGGCTCTTTCTGACAAACAGAAATATGCTTTACAAGTTTCTAAGGAAGACTTTTGTTAATCCACCATAATCCTTCTCTTTACCTGTTCAGAGTCCATACTGAGCAGATCGCAGTATGTCATGTTAGTGGCACCGCCATTTGAGGGGCCCACCTTGAACCTAACAGTCTGCTTTCAAAGTATATTGTGTTTAGTTGGAGCCTCCAGCTCATTACTGCTTTACTTAGAAAACGTCATTCCGGTCTCTCTCTTTTTAAAAATCTCACCCACTCAGAGAGTCTTCAAACAAAGGGAAGGCACCAAAAATCCCAGTTCTACATTCTTGGTAGCTATGTTAACTTCATCCCCGGAAGTTGTCGGCTACTAAAGCCCCCACCTAAAGTGCTCAGCTTCTGACCATACTTGGGCACAAACCCAGTATCATCACTCCTTGCCTAAAACCTATGTAATTTCTCTGCTTTAGTATGGGTGTACAGTTTGGCCTCAATCTCTGGGACTGGAGAACCCATGAAGGAATTGCTTTGCTCAAATAAACCTGTTCTCATATTTTTTTCAATTTGGCTTGATCTGTCTCACTGCATCAATGGAGAAACCTGTTATCTGGAGGCAGAAAAACATATTGTTTAAGATTTTTATGTGTCTGGCGTCCTTCAATTCAGCAAGCAGATGTTTTTGTTATCTTGAGCAAACTAACTTGTTTACATAAGTGAAATCATGTAGTTAGCAATGTGACCCATATCTTACATGAACAACAGTTTAAAATTGTACAAGACCAGACAATTCTGAGAAGAGCCCCAGGTATTCTGAGAAACCATTGTTCTTGGAAAAACTGGCTGATGGGATCCCATTCTCATGGGTTTAGCCTTTATAGGCTAAAGATACTCTTTTGTGAAAACTTGGGGGAGCGGGAGACTGCAGCTGGATCAACAACAGAGAGGGAGAACAAGGAATAGGAGACCATGGTAATGGAAGACCACATGAGAATAGGAAGAAGCAAAGTGCTAGAGAGGCCCACAGAAATCCACAAAGATACCCACACAACAGACTGCTGGCAATGGTCGAGATACAGCCCGAACTGACCTACTCTGGTGATGGGATGGCCAAACACCCTAATTGTCGTGCTAGAAACCCCACCCAACTACTAAGGGATCTGGATGCAGAGATCCATGGCTAGGCCCCGGGTGGATCTCTGGGAGTCCAATTAGCAAGAATGAGGAGGGCTTATATGAGCGAGAATTGTTGAGACCAAGGTTGGATAAAGCACAGGGACAAATAGCCAAACGAATGGAAACACATGAACGATGAACCAGTGGCTGAGGGGTCACCAACTGGATCAGGCCCTCTGAATGGGTGAGACAGTTGATTGGCTTGATCTGTTTGGGAGGCATCCAGGCAGTGGGACCAGGTCCTGTGATCATTGCATGAGTTGGCTGTTTGAAACCTGGGGCCTATGCAGGATCGCTTGGCTTGGCCTGGGAGGAGGGGACTGGACCTACCTGGACTGAATCTACCAGGTTGATCTAAGTCCATGGGGGAGGCTTTGCCCTGGAGGAGGTGGGAATGGGGGGGTAGGCTGGGGGGAAGGTGAGGGGGGCGGGAGGGGGGAGAACAAGGGAATCCATGGCTGATATGTAGAACTGAATTGTATTGCAAAATAAAAATAAAAAAATTTAAATATATATATATATATATATATATATATATATATATATATACACATTCTAAAAAAAAGATACTCTTTTGTTTTATAGATCTCCCTCCTTCTCTTTTTTTTATTATTCTCTTAATACATTCCAACCAAAGTTTCCCCTTTCATCACTCCTCCCAGTACCCCAGCCCCAGATCTACTCCTCCTCCATTTCCCTTCAGAAAAGAGCAGACCTCCCAGGGATATCAATCAAAGATGGCATAACAAGTTATAGTAAGACTAGGTACAAAAACTCATTCCAGGGTTGGGCAAGGCAATTGAGTAGGATTAAAAGGGTCACAAAGGCAAACAAGAGTCAGAACACCCCCACTCCTACTATTAGGAGTCTCCAAAAAGCAAGCTAACAACCATAACATATTTGCAGCGGACCTAGTGCAGACCCATACAGTCTCCATGATTGCTGCTTCAGTCTCTGTAAGCATCTATGAGACCTTCTTTATTGAGTCTGTGGGCTATGTTCTCCTGGTGTCTTCAACCTCTCTGGATCCAACAACTTTTTGTTCCCCTCTTCAATGGGGTTTCCTGAGCACTGAGGAAAGGGACCCAATGGAGGATGGAGATCACCTTTGGGCTCTCCCTGTGCCTCATATTTGGCTGTGGGTCTCTGCATCTGCTCCCATAACCTACCAGAGGAAGCTTCTCTGATAATGATTAGGCTAGGCACTGATCTATGAGTATAACAGAATATCATTAGGAACCATTTATGGATTTTATAAATTCTTTCCTAGCTCTCTGGGCTGTCCAGTCTCTTGTTTCTGGTCATCTAGGCAGTGTTGGGCATGGGCTCCCTTTTCTGGTATGGGCCACAGATAGACTCATCATTGGTTGGCCATTCCCACAAGATCTGTGCCTCCATTGCCCCAGCTTGTCTAGCAGGCAGGGTAAATTGTAAGTTGATGATTTTGTGGATGAATTAGTGTCCCAGTCCCACCACTGGAAGTTGCCTAGTTACAGAAGATGGCCAGATCAGGCTTTGTATCCTCCATTACTAGGAGTCTTCACTAGGATCACCCTGTAGAATTCTGGGAGTGCTTACTGCGCTAAGTTTCTACATAGCCTCCTAAATGCCCTGCAATTCCAGTATTTTTGTATTCTCTCCATTCCTACCTCCTATCTCAACCTGATCCCTCCTGTTCTCATTCTCAACCACTTCCAGTCCATCATCAAAATATATTCTATTTTCCCTCATCTGGGATTTTATGAAATGGTGGATGGGAGGCCTTGGCGAGTTGGGCCAAAGTACCCCAGTGGGTTTGGGAAACACACCATGCAGATGTGGCAGTGTGCTGTGATGTGGAGAGGTGGAAAGTGACTCACACCATGCAGTCACATTTCCACATGGAAAGTTTATTATTAAAGGGGGAGAGAAAGAGGAGAGAGAGAGAGAGAGAGAGAGAGAGAGAGAGAGAGAGAGAGAGAGAGGTGGGAACTACTTCTGGTGAGAGGGAGGAGAGAGAGCAAAGGGGGAGGGGTGTTTCTTAAAGGGGACTTTACATAAGATGATGTCAGGATGCTGGGCAGGTCCCCAAGGGGTGGGTCTCCAAGGGACAGTACAGAATATTAACATTCCTCCATTTTTTGATTATTATAAAAAGGTGAGTTATAGATAGCAAGTTGGGGGGAATGAGGGTGTTGAATTCTCAAGACTGCTTCCTGCTAACAAGGGGCTAAGTGGGAGAAAGTTAGGAGTCAGGGTTATCTACAGCGTGATGTGTGAATGAAGAAGCATTTAGTTAGCCGTAATTCTGGAGACACTTGAGGGAGATGAGAGGCAGGTTGCTAGGGAAAAAATAGATTATTAACATCAGCCCCATGAGCAGGGCTAACCATGGAAAAGTGATAACTGCCAGAAAGAATAGAATTGAAGAGTGCCCTGGTTGTAAAGGAGATGCAAGGGTGAATGAGTGAGACATGTAAGCAGATATGCCCTTCATTGGGACATCTTGAAAAACCAGGTTCCAGTTACTAGGTAGGTGTCTGCTTGAGCCTGAAGAAGTGGTACCAGCAGTGAAGTCCCAGGAGCTTGGCAAGATTGCACACCAAATTGAGGGATGATGTGTTCTAGTACAGGAGCCATCACATATGCTGTTTCTCTGGAGGTGGAAAATGACCCCATCCTGTAAAAGTGTCAACAAATTAGGAGATAATGGACTTTTTATGAGTGGGCATGTGGGTGAAGCCAACCTGCCAGTATTTGCCCAGCTGGTGTCCTTGGTTGGTGCAGTGGCTGGTGATGTATCTGGAGGGTCTTTGAGGGCCTTGCCTTGGCACAATCTGGCAGGAGGTGTGGATCTGTGCAGGAACCTGCAAACGACTATAAAACAACTGGAACAGATTTACATCTTGGCATCATAGCAAAGCTATGGCTTTGGGGTAGAAGATATGAACATTTTTCCAGGGCCTAGTTTCAACCAAATGAAACACATCTTTAAATCTACAGCCAAGGGGAATTTACTGAGTGGAAATAGTTGAGTGAGTGAAGGAGGAGGGACGCTTCCCTACCACCTCCAATGCTAGCCTGTTTCTAAAAGCTGGGACTAGTAAAGTCCATAAAAACCTTGGAGTTGAGGGAGAGAGCCATTAAAAATGGCAAACATCATCAGATCTGAAAAGGATAAGTAAGTGAACAGAAGTGAGATAGCTTTCCTATCTCCATATAAATAAACCTTAAAGCACCTTACTGAAAGAAGTCATTGCAAAATGAGTTTAAATCTCTTTTTTAGTCTGGTAGCAAGGTGAACTGTGTCTAGACTTAGCATTAGCTCTAAGAGAATGAGACATGTGAATTTTACATAGAGAACTGAGAAGGCAGCTGAAGCAAAGCATGGTTGTCAAATGGCATCAGAGATCTGACAAGGATAAATTATACAAACAGCTTTTGAATCTTTTAAAAATGATAAGAACCAGTCCATACCAAATTAGCCATATACAGGTCTCCACATCATTGCAGGCAGAAGTATCAGAACAACATCAATCTTTGGCTGCCAGGCCTATAAGGTATGAGTTTTTCCCATCAAAGGGGGACATAGGGAAGACTGATCTAACTTTTTCTAGGCAAAAGGTTTGCAATCAATTCTCTGATGTCCTGTTGCTTGTCCACAGTCTGGGCTGGGTCCTGGCTGCAGGCATCACATTGGGGCATCTTGCCCAGAGGTCAGCATTGTCATAATTCAGGTGGAGACATCATGGTGCCTCACAACCTTCTTCTTTAAAGACCTTTGTCACTGCTGTGATCTGGGAGTTTCTGTCTGATATAATAAGCTTTTTGATCAACATTTTAAATGTCATATTCTGCAGATCTCTGCGCATTTGAGGACTGCCTGTCCATTAGGTATAAATGACTTATTATCATCTTGTGTTCCCTAACAGTCTTCAATATGTTAGCAGCTTTCATAAGACTAGGACTTACTGTCTCCTGAGAAGGCAAAGAAGAGTGACAGGGGAAAGATCCCAGAGTCAAATGGGAACAGGAAAAATTGGTTTGTGAGTTGGAGTGTGGCCCAACTCTGGAGAGAGGACACTCTCAGGGGACCAGAAATTCCATTATAGAATATATATAATTTATCTTTTAAATATATCACATATCTTATTTATTAAACATATGCCATCATTTATTTAAATTCTCTAGAAGCTTGGTATTGAATACTTGGCAAAGATATAGGTGTAAATGTGTAAAAGTCTAAGTTAGTCTTTGTTGATCTGAACAGATAAATTTCATACCAATCTAATATATTTGAGGCTTGTTGTTTCCTTACTCTAGAAAGAGATAAAATGAACAGAGAGCTCATTAGAAACTAAATTTATTTTTCAATCTTAGTAAACCTCAGTAAAAGATGACTGCTAGTCATGTGGCTGTCTACATCATGATGAGGTCAAGGGAACAAAATCAAATATTATTTTGGCTTAATCTAACATTAATCTTAAAAGGTCTTACAATAAAAAACCCCAGAGCCAAATATTGTAGTGAAAGCTGAAAGATCAGAGAAGCAGAACAAGCCAGTCACAAGTTCTTACCTCTACAAAATCCTCAGTCTCAGAGAGACTTCCTGTTTAGTCATACCTTATATACCTTTCTGTGCCCTGCTATCTTACTACCTTCTTAGTGCTAGGATTAAAGTCATGTGCCACCATACCTGGCTCTGTCCCAGTGTGGCCTTAAACTCACAGAAATCCAGATGAATCTTTGCCTCCTGAATGAAAAGATTAAAGGCATGTGCTACCACTGCCTGACCTCTATGTTTATGATAGTCACTGGAAACCTTTATTTGGGTACACAATATAATACCACATTTCCCCTTTTTTGTCTAAAATAATAAAAGAAGGTTATAACTAATATAAGAAAAACTGTATACAAGTACAATAACTATATACAATATACACAGGCAATAAATACATCAACATTGTCTAGTCCATTTGCATTAGTGAGTTTCTGTTCTCAATTTCTTAACAAGGAAAACTAGAACTATAACTGTCTAATCATCAACTCCCTCAGAGACCCAAGAAGGAAATAATATTAATTGAGTAAGGAAGAAGTGCAAACAAGCAACTTCCAAAGCATGTGAGAAATGACAGAAACAATTGGCTGCCTGGACAGTCACCCAAGGTTCCACTGCAATGTTGGTGTATCCATCTTTAGCCTAGAGGCCTAGCATATCTAACAGACTCATCTGAGAAGCAGGATTTTCTAAAGATCCTTCCTACCTTGTCTTGGCAACATTCAGCAGTCCTTTCTTTTATATCCTGCTTGTTCATTTTGAACAGCATTGTGTCAGCAGTTGAGGCAAGGGTGTTTTCTTGCCCAGTGGCTAACTTTTGCCACAAAGTAAGTAAACTATATATGGAGTTTCTTCAATGCCAATCATCTCTGGGTAGCTTGGTGCTGCCAGGAGAAGACATGTCTCATTGTCATTAAAAAAATCTATATTATTAAAACATCTTAAATGCCATGTTTAGTAGATCTCTGAAGTGTTTGAAGATGACCTGTCTATCTAAAATGTATTTCTGCTTGACCTTGAAAACATAACTAATATGACTACAAGCTCGATTGTAATGATTAATTATTAACCTGCATTTCTTAATTATCCTAAATAGCTGGTAATAACTTTCAAGGACTAGAAAATTGCATTATAATTGTTAAATGAACTGTATAGGTACAATACCTTGAGCAAGATTAGAAATATATGTACAGTATTTTCTACCAAAATCAATCTCAAATTTGTGTCAATATACATAATTTGTATACAACATATAAAAATTCTATCCCATGTAAATATTTAAAAGTAGTAGTTGCTTTTTAAATGTAGATTCAATAATCTACCTTTTTATCTTATCATATCCACATTCTCTTGTTTTTCTTTTCAGAGAAGATTCAATAATATACTTCTTATCTATATCTTCTTTTTTCATTTTCTTTCATTTTTCAAACTAAGAAAGTTTATATATATATATATATAATTTTGATATAAAGTTCATACCTTAAGAAAATTTTTTTTTGTTTTTTTTTTTGAAGTTCAAGTTAAAAATTTTATTATCCCAGTTTTGTTTAACTGTACATAGGCATATTCATATGATCCATGCATATTTATACAAAATATTCATAATTGTTCTATACTAGCAATACAGTGATGAAGTTTTTCTTCTACTATAAATTAATGAGCTAAATAATAAAAATGTCTTTAGTTTTTTTTGTTTAATTTTTATTTTGCAATACAATTCAGTTCTACATATCAGCCACAGATTCCCTTGTTCTCTCCCCTCCCGCCCCCCTCACTTTCCCCCCAGCCCACCCCCCATTCCCATCTCCTCCAGGGCAAAGCCTTCCCCACAGACTGAGATCAACCTGGTAGACTCAGTCCAGGTAGGTCCAGTCCCCTCCTCCCAGGCCAAGCCAAGCGATCCTGCATAGGCCCCAGGTTTCAAACAGCCAACTCATACAATGAGCACAGGACCCAGTCCCACTGCCTGGATGCCTCCCAAACAAATCAGGCCAATCAACTGTCTCACCCATTCAGAGGGCCTGATCCAGTTGGGGACCCCTCAGCCATTGGTTCATAGTACATGTGTTTTCATTCGTTTGGCTATTTGTCCCTGTGCTTTATCCAACCTTGGTCTCAACAATTCTCGCTCATATAAGCCCTCCTCATTCTTGCTAATTGGACTCCCAGAGATCCACCCAGGGCCTAGTCATGGATCTCTGCATCCAGATCCCTCAGTAGTTGGATGAGGTTTCTAGCACGACAATTAGGGTGTTTGGCCATCCCTTCACCAGAATAGGTCAGTTCGGGCTGTCTCTCGACCATTGCCAGCAGTCTGTTGTGTGGGTATCTTTGTGGATTTCTGTGGGCCTCTCTAGCACTTTGCTTCTTCCTATTCTCATGTGGTCTTCCATTACCATGGTCTCCTATTCCTTGTTCTCCCTCTCTGTTGTTGATCCAGCTGGGATCTCCCACTCCCCCAAGCTCTCTTTCCCTCGACCCTCGCCTTTCACTACCCCCACTCATGTCCAGGCTGTTCATGTAGATCTCATTCCATTTCTCTGTCATTGGGCGATCCCCATGTCTTTCTTGGGGTCCTGTTTTCCAAGTAGCCTCCCTGGTGATGTAAGTAGCAGACAAGTCATCCTTGTTCCACATCTAGTATCTTGCTATGATTCAGATGCAAGTAAATGATTAAGAAAATTTTAAAGAGTCAGAATAAATCCAAAGTATTATGAGAATAGTGGCAATAGAATAGTTCATTAATTTTGATTTTTCTTCTGTCCTATATCAGGTGACTCTTCTGACATGATAGAGATATTTTGTATTTTCTTCTAACAAGCATGCTTGAGTTTAGAGGAGAAAGTCATGCTCCAACTCCAAAGCCAGCTTTAATTTTTAATTGAACTGAGACTACATGAAGACCATTTGCATTATGTGTCTGTAGAGAACATCAGAAAAAAACATTTAGGAAGACTTATGAAATTGTTTCCTGTTAGATATGTGATATACCAATAGGCCAATTTACTCTTTTTCTTGGAACATTTTTTTTTCTGGAAGATTTGTCCTTTTTCTTCAGATGTCTCATTTGTCCATGTTCTTCTGATTCCTTAGCCTTCATTCTCCTGAAAGACAAAAACAAATCCCTTCCCCAACCTGAACTTTGTAGAGGTTCCCTTTGGGCAAGTTATAGCTGATTAAATGAAAAGCATTTGTTAGTGGTATAAGTTAGTTTAAATTGAATGGTCATGCTGGTTCATGAACTAACTCCTCTTCTAATTAAGAGGTATCTCCTGTTCAAATTGTACCTTTACTAATTTTTGTGGTATCCACAGCTTTTCTTCTCCTGTAGAAACAAAAGCAAAACCTCATCCCCAACATAATACATATCCTGGTTTCCATTCTGAAGTCAGCAAATCTTTAAAGTACATAGGCTGATTTAATTCTGTAGTTTTTTTTCTGTTATTCAATGTCTCTCCACAGCCATTGTTTCTTTCTCATTAGCATTGAGGAAATTCATAGTTAATAGAGCATTATGTAATCTATTTCTGGGGGTTTTTGTTACCCCTTTCTGTTTATTTAGCACATCCTTTAGAATTCAATCTGATCTTTCTATGACTGCCTGGCCTGTAGGATTGTATGGTATACCTGTAATATGCTTTATACTGTAATAAGAAAAATACTGTTTCATTTTACCAGAGACACATGCTGGAGCATTGTCATTTTTAATTTGTACAGGTATACACATGATGGCCATAACTTCTAGCAAAGGTGTGATTACAGAATCAGCTTTCTAGGAAATCAGAGCAGTTGCCCATTTAAGTCCTGAATAGATATCAATGGTGTGGTATACATATTTCAGTTTTCCAAATTCTATAAAATGAAACACATCCACTTGCCATATTTCATTCCTCTGAGTATCCTTCCGGTTACATCCTGCTGGTTTAATTGTAAAAAGAATAAGTAGGACATTTTCTTATAATTTCCTTAGCTTGTTGCCAGGTTATGGAAAAATCCTTTTTAAAACCCTTACTATTAAGATGATATTTTTTTTTAATTCTGAGGCCTCTAGAACTTTTCCTATCAATAGTTTATCAATCTTATCATTATCTTGTACTAGAGGGCCTGGCAGACCCATATGGGATCAGATGTAAGTTATTGTTTTGATATATCTTTCTGTATGCTGTGAATATATGTTGTTCCCATTGTTTAATAAATAAGCTGCTTTTGCCTATGGCAAGGCCACTTAAACTCAGGTGGGAAATCCAAGGAGAGAGACAAGAAAGAGAAAGGTGGAGTCTGGGGGGATGCCAGCTGCCATTAGGAAAAAGAAAATATGAAGGTACTGGTAAGCCATGGCCACATGGCAATTTGATGAATTGAAATGGATTAAGTTATAAGAGCTAGCTGCAAGAAGCCTTTCATAGGCTATGCAATTGGTAATTAATATTAAACATCTGAATGATTATTTTATAAGTGGCTGAGGTGCCTTGGGGCTGGGCAGGACTGGAGAAACATGGGACCATGTGGCAGGCTGGGACCAGAGAAACCTTCCAACTACATTTGGAGCCCAGATGTGGTACTAACAATTTCTACCTAAAACCTGAGAAAGCTTTAAAAAATTCTAAAATGAAACTAAAAATAGCTTTCTAGTTCTGTCTCTCAGGCAAGCTGTGGTATGCGGGCTTGAGCTACAATATGGCAGGTTTTCAGCCTTTGGGCTTGACCTACAGCATGGCTGATTCCTGCCATGGTACACAGAGGTATCTCCAAGTCATGCAGAGCACTGAATGGTGGATTTAGCCTTTATTCATACAGATAAAAACAGGTTTATGGGCCAGCTGCACACAACCTGGTGGCAGCATGGACCCCAGAATTGGCAGGGTAAGCATGTCGCTCCTGGGTACCTCCATCATGTTGGTAAGCTGAGGTAGGCAAAGTCAGTAGCCAAGGTTGCTGCTTTTTGCCCTAGCCACACACTTTAACAATTTAACATCTCTCCCAGTCAGAGAAGGATTATAGATTCACAATGAGACTGATTCAGATGGAATAAAACTCTAAACAGTTTACAGTATGTGTAAAAGTGTATATAGGCTTGCAAGAGAGTGGGAAAGGAGTGTATGCAGTTATATAAAGAAATAGATAGTTTAAAAAAATAATGTCTTTAAAGACATAGTAAAAGTAAATAAAAATAAGCCACATAAAGATGGAAATCACACAGTGTCTGGATTTTATTGACTTTGGGATTTTTAACTGCAGAAAGACATTTGATTATAAAGGCTACTAAGTTAACCCAATATGTATATTTTAAAAGTATCTTGACTTCAAATTTATGTTTAAGTATACATTGCTCTGGAAAAGAGGTTCCGCTTTTCTTTCTACAGAAGATGAGAACCTATGGATTTCTTCCAGGCTAATATGGTTTGGTCAGCCAAGACCCCTGGAAAGGTCTCTGATGACACCTTGGCCCAGATGATCCAACATCCAAAATCAGCTTCAAAGAAACTGGCTGAGATGATCCATCCTCACAGACTACAGCAAAGATATAACTATAATTCTTAATTTTCTCAGGACCCCCATAGGATTGCCAGCAACCCCAACCAACAGGATGTAGTATAAGCTATGCCCAAACTTCCAAAATATTGTTTATAAATGTTTGTTTTTATTTAAAGTGGGTTGATTATAAATGTAATCTCTTTCTAAAGAAGAAAAGGGTATATGATATAGATATGATTGGATAAAAGGATAGATTATTGAATCTACTGTTAAAGAGCAACAACTTGTTTAAAATATTTTACATTACTATGTATTTTAGTTTATTGATATAAATTTAAATTTAATTTTGTTATACTGCATATGTATTTCTACTCTTAAGGTATTATGTTTGTACAACTCCTTTGACATTATAATGTATAATTAAGAAATACTGATTAATAATGAAGTCATCTATGATAATCAAACTAATAGTTTTTTAGATATACAAAGATATATTTCAATTAGGTAGGTAATCTTCAAACACTTTAAAGACTTACAGAATATCGCATTCAAATGCTTTAAAAACTTAAACTTTCTGGAAAACAAGACACATCTGCTCCTAGCAACACCAGTTTAATGCAAAGAGGAAGATGGGCATCGAAGACACTCCATATGGAGTTTATCTTCTTGGCAAAAATAGCCATTTGGTCAAGAGACTGTGTAGCTGAAAGTTTTTCTGTGTCCCACCCAGTCTGCAGCTGCTCAGACGTAAGTAAACACACAGAGGCTCCTATTAATTAAAATATGGCCACTAGCTCAGGCCTACCACTGACTAGCTCTTACACTTAAACTCAGCCCATTTCTGTTAATGTATATGTCATGATGTGTTCATGGCTTTACCTGTGTGCCATTACATGCTGTTCCCTGGATGGCAGGCTGGCATCTCCTGACTCAGCCTTCTTTTCCCAGAATTCGGTTAGTCTACTTGCCCTGACTACTTCCTGCCTGGCTATTGACCAATAGTGTTTTATTAAATCAGTCTACAAGGGCATTATCCCACAGCACTTCCCCTTTTCTGTCTAATCAAAAAGGAAGGTTTTAACTTTAACATAGTAAAATTATATACAACAAACCATTATTAAGCAAGCACTACAGTTACAATATCTATTCTATTTGTATTTGGCAAAATTAAAGAAAGTATCTATCCTATATTTGTGAGTCTAAAGTTTTATATCTAATCTATCTTTTATCATAACCAAGGGAAATTATAACTATCTAGTCTTCAACTACATCAAAGACATCAGAAGGATACAATATTACATAAGTAAATAGAAAGAACATTGGAAGCAACTTCCAAAAGTCTAGAATGACAGAGATAGCTGGCTGCTCACCCAAAGTTCTTCTGTAATGTTGGTGCATCTGTTTTTCAGCCCACAGGCCTAGAGTTTCTCAGATGCTTCTCTCTGTGTCCTATGTCTGGCAGTTTCCTCTGCAAAGCAGGAACCTGAAGGACCACCTCTCTTTGCAAAGTTCAGAAGTTCAGTGGTCACTTTCCATGGGTCCTGCATTTCCAGTTGACATAACATTTTGTCAGCAGTCCAGGCAAGAACAGTTTCTTGACCAAATGGCTACCTTTGCCAAGAAGAAGATAACTCCTTATGGATTGTCTTTGATGCCCATCTTTCTCTTTGAAGTAAATTGGTGCTGCCAGGAGCAGATATGTCTCATTGTCTAGAAAGTGTAAGTTTTTAAAACATTTTAAATGCCATATTCTGTAGGCCTTTGAAGTGTTTGAAGATTACCTACCTAATTGAATTATATCTATGTATAACTAGAAAACTTAGCATGACTATAAGTTTGACTATTGTAGCTAGAGTTTTTTTGGTTTTGCCTGGCCCATGGTCAGGGCAAATCTCTATCACCCACCAGTCCTGCAGCCACTTAGGCCCAACCGAGTAAACATACAGAGACTTATATTGCTTACAAAGTGTATTGCCACAGCAGGCTTCTTGTTATTTACTCCTTATATCTTAAATTAACCCATATCTATTAGGCTATAAGTTGCCATGTGGCTTGTGGCTTACTGGTACCTTACATCTCACTTTTCATAGCAGTGGCTGTTTGTGTCTCTCTAACTCAGTCTTCCTGTTCCCCAAATTCTTTTCTCTGCTTGTCCCGCCTATACTTCCTGCCTGGCTACTGGCCAATCAGTGTTTTATTTATTAACCAATCAAAGTAATACATTTAACATACAGAACATCCCACAGCAAACTATCTTAGAAGACTAATTATTAATCTGTATTTCTTAATTATCCACTACAATTTAATGAGTTGCATAAACATAATACCTTAAACAAGAGTGTATATATACATACATATATATATACATATATATAATAACAAAATCAACTTTAAATTTGTATCAATAAACTAAAATCTATACCAATGTAAAACATTTTTAAATGAGTTGTTGCTCTTTAAAAGCAGATTCAATAATCTACCCTTTTATCCTATATCTATATCCTATCCTCCGTTTCTTTTTTTAGAAGATATTGAGTATGACCAATAACAATTTGTAACCAATCTCTAACAAAGACAAATATCCACAGTCCAGTTTTTGGAAATGTGAGCACAGTTATTTAGGCTACTTCCTACTGATATAGGGTGCTGGTAGTCTTAGGGGGATCCTTAGAAAATTCAAGATAATGGTCCTGGGAAGACTGGCTATAACCTTTGTTGATAGGTACCATCTGTTAAGATTCAGAAGGTCTGGCTTGATCAAATCTGGTCCATCTTAACCTGGAACAAATCCATAGCCTCTTGCTTCCTGTGGAAACAAAAACAGAGCCTCCTTTTCAAAGCAGCATATCCTTAGATCCAAATTTTGAAATCAAAATACCTTTAACATATACATATTGGCTTAACTCAGCAGCTTTTACAATCAAATGTCTTTTTGTATTTAAAAATCCCAAAGACAATATAATCCAGACTCTATGTGTAACTTCCATCTTTATGTGGCTTATTTTTATATTACTTTTACTGTCTTTTCAAAAAGAAATTATTTTTTTAAAACTTTTTTATTTTTATATAACTGTCTATATTCCCTTTTCTTTTTCTTTCAAGCCTATGTTCATTTTTACACACACAGCAAACTGTTTAGAGGTTTATTTAATCTGAATCTGACTTATTATGAATTTATTGATTTAAACTGTAGACTGAAATGGCAGCTTTGGTTGCTGGCTCTGCCCACCTCAGCTTCCCAACATGGCGGAACTATGTTTACAGCCAGCTCTGGGGGAACTAAGCTCATCACTGACTCTGTGAAGCAGTGTGTCTATGCTTCCATCCAGCAACGTATAGCCCAAATCCCTCTTTTCTGTGTATTAGCAAAGGCTAAATCCCCCACACAGTGTACCGTGTGGCTTGGAGATAACTCTGTGTACCAGGGTGGGAATCCGCCATACTGCATGTCAAGCCCACACACCTTGAATCTTCCATAGAGTAGTAACTCAAGCCTGCAGGCTGTTGCTGGCCTGAGAAACACAACTAATAAGCTGTTTTTAGCCCCATTTTAAAATCTTTTTTTTTTTTTTAAAGCTTTCTCAGGTTTTAGGTGGAAACTTTTTCCCCATGTTGGGTGCCATTTGTTGTTGAAAGTTTTATCCCGTGTCCCTTTTGGTCTGCAGCTGCTCAGACCCAAGTAAATACACAGAGGCTTATATTAATTAAAACTGCTTGGCCATTAGCTCAGACCTCAGCTCATTTCTGTAAATGTATATGTGACCATGTGTTCCATGGCTCTACCTGTGTGCCATTACATGCTGATCCCTGGACAGCAGGCTGGTGTCTCATGACTCAGACTCCTCTTCCTAGAATTCCTTTAGTCTGCTCACCCCACCTCTACTTCCTGCCTGGCTACTGGCCAATCAGTGTTTTATTAAACCAGTCTACAAGGACATTATCCCACAACAAAACTGCTCTTGCCTGGACTGCTGATAATATGTTGTATAATCTGAACATGCAGGACCCATAGGAAAATGAATGCTGAATTTGTCAAAAAAAAAAAGGTAAAATGTTCCTTCAGGTTCCTTCTTCACAGAGGAGTCTACAGAAACAGGGAAAAATGACTGAGTGACTAGGCCTATAGGCTAAAAATGGATGTCACAATGTTACAGAGGAACTTTGGATGACTGTCCATGCAACCAGTTGTCTCTGTCATTCTAGATTTTGGAAGTTACTTACAATATTCTTCCTATTTACTTAGGTAATATTACATCTTTCTGGGGTCTTTGATGTAGTTGAATACTAGATAGTTATAATTATAGTTTTCCTTAGTCATGATAAAAGATAAATATTTGAAACCTCAGACTCACAAATATACAATAGATAGAATCTTTTCTTTAATTTTGCCAAATACTAGCTATTGTAACTGTAATTCTTGATTGATAACTTTGTTATATATAATTTTACTATATTAAACTTAAAATCTTCCATTTTGATTGGATAGAAAAGGGAAGTGCTGTGGGATATCTTTCTGTACGTTGTGAAAATATGTTGTTACCATTGTCTAGTAAATAAGCTGCTATGACCTATGGCAAGGCAGCTTAGAGGCAGGCAGGAAATCCAAGGAAAGAGACAGGAAAGAGAAAGGCAGAGTCTGGGGAGATGGCAGCTATTGCCAGGAGAAGCAAGATGTGAAAGTACGGGTAAGCCACAGCCACGTGGCAACTTATAGATTAATAGAAATGAGTTAAGTTATAAGAGCTAGCTAGCAAGAAGCCTTCCATAGGCCATGCAAATGGTAATTAATATTAAACCCATGAATGATTATTTTTTAAACAGCTGTGGGACTGTGGGGCCAGGCAGGACCAGAAAAACCTTCCAACTACAAGTTATATATAAGGAATGGTTCCTATTCCTGATTATTTCTTGTAACTAAATAAATAACAAAGTTAATTCTGACTCATCAAGAATAAATTCTGAAGTTTCAGTATGTAAGACCACACTTTCAGCATACTGAGAGTCATTAAGTATGTAGAGAGGTTCCAAAAAATTCATTAATACCATCAGAATGGCATATAATTCTGATTTTTGGACAGAATTAAAAGGACTTTGAACTTAAATTTTCTGATTTGTGACCTGTCTTTCCTTTTTGGTTTGCATCTGTATGAAATGTAGGGAGGGGGGCATCCAGATATTGGTGTTTCCCATACAATGCAAGGTGGGATCAAGTTAGCTCTCTTTATAAGTTAATTCTATCACTTTTTTGGATATTTATTGTTAATCTCTTCCAAAAATTTACTGCAAGCTCTTTGCCAAGGTTCACTTTCTTCCCATAATTTGTCAATTTCATCACTAGATAAAGGTACTACAATTTCTGCTTGGTCTATTCCTGCTTGTAGCTGGAGTTTTCTCCAGTCCTGCCCAGCCCCATGGACCCCACAACCGCTTATAAAATAAGCACACAGACACTTTCATTATTTAAACTGTTTGGCCTAATGGCTCAGGCTTCCTGTTAGCTGTTCTTATATCATAAATTAACCCACTTCTATTAATTTATACCTTGCCACATTGCTCGTGGCTTACTGGTACTTTACATCTTGCTTCTCATAGCAGCGGCTGGCAGCATCTTTCTGCCTCCACCTTCCACTTCCCAGACTTCTCCTCTCTCTTTGTCCCACATATACTTCCTGCCTGGCTACTGGCCAATCAGCATTTTATTTATCAATCAATCAATCATCCACAGCAGTTCCCCTTTTTCTTTTTTCAAAAAGGAAGGTTTTAACTTTAACATAGTAAAATTACATATAATAATTATCAAGCAAGAATTACAGTTACAATATCTAGTGTATTTATAATATCTAGTTTATTTGTATTTGACAAAATTAAAGAATATATCCTATCTATCTTATATTGTGAGTCTAAGGTTTCATATCTAACTTATCTATTATCATAACTAAGGAAATTATAACTATCTAGTTTTCAACTACAAAGACCTCAGAAGGATATAATATTATCTGAGAAATGGGAGACAGACGTTAGCAACTTTTGGGATTCTTGCAAGAGTAGACAGAGACAGCTGGCATCCTGGACAGTCACCTAATGTTCCTTTGTAAAGTCGGGGAATCTGTCTTTAGCCCACAGGCCTAGAATCTCTCAGTCATTTCTCTCTGTGTCCTGTAGAATGTCTGGCAGTTTCCTCTGTGAAGCAGGAACCTGAAGGACCATTTTGCCAAGCAAAGTTCAGTGGTCACCTTCCTATGGGTTCTGCATGTCCAGTCAATCAAGCAGTCCAGGCAAGATCAGTTTTTTTCCTAAATGGCTATTTTTGCCAAGATGAAGATAAACTCCATATGGAGTGTCTTCAGTGCCCATCCTCTTCTCTGAAGTAAATTGGTGCTGCCAGGAGCAGACATGTATCATTGTCCAGAAAGTCTAAATTTTTAAAACATTTCAAGTACCATATTCTGTAGGTCTTTGAAGTGTTTGATTACCTACCTAATTGAATTATATCTATGTAGACCTAGAAAACTTAACATGACTGTAAGTTTGACTATCATAGAGTACTACTTTTTAATCTGTATTTCTTAATTATCCATTACAATCTAAATGAGATACATAAACATAATACCTCAAACAAGAGTAGAAATATATAAACAGTATAACAAAATCAACTCTAAATTTGTATCAATAAACTAAAATCTATAGCAATGTAAAACATTTTTAAATATGTTGCTCTTTAAAAATAGATTCAATAAGCTTCCCTTTCATCTTATCATATCTAAACTATCCCATTTTTTCTTTAGAAAGACAGTACATTTATAATCAACCTGCTTTAAGTAAAAATACTGGTTTTTCTCTGTTCCATAACAGAGGGCTCTTCTGATATGGAACAAAAGAATCTCTCAACTTTTTTTTTATTTATTTATTTATTTATTTATTTATTTATTTATTTATTTATTTATTAGTAATATGCTTGTGTTTAGAGAAGGAGTGAGCCAATTCCATCTCCAAATCTAGCTTGGTATATTTGGGAATCTAGACAGAGCTTCTCTTACAGTTTCCTGCTGAAGGAGGGCACTGTATTCTTATGGGGACATAAAGAAAATTTTAGGATTATGGAGTAGTCCATGAGGTTGTATTTTCTGAGCCAGTTGCCTTGAAACCATTCTAGATGTTGGATCATCTGGGCCATGGTGTCATCAAAGGCCTTCCAGGGTGTCTTGGCTGGTCAAACCTGATGTATCTTAATCTGGAACAAATCCATAGCCTCTCACTTTCTGTGGAAACAAAAGCAGAGCCTCCTTTCCAAAGCAACATATCCTTACATCCAAATTTTGAAGTCAAGGTACCTTTAAAATATCCATATTTGTTTAACTCAACAGCTTTTACGATCAAATGTTTTCTGCAGTTAAAAATCCCAAAGACAACACAATCCAGATTCTCTGTGTAATATCCAATTTTACGTGGCTTATTTTTTATATTGCCTTTACTGTCTCTTTAAAGACTTTATTTTTAAAAACTATGTATTTCTTTGTATAACTGTATATATTCCTTTTTCTCTCTGTTCCAAACCTACGTATATTTTTACACACATTGTAAAGCATTAAAGTCTTGTTTCATCTGAATCTGTCTTATTGTGTAACTATTGCTTTAAACTGCAGCTTTCTAAGTCTCAGTCTCAAGAGAGAGACTATTTACTAATGCCTTATGTATCTTTCTGTGTCCTGCCATCTTACTTCCATTCTAGTGATGGGATTAAAGACATGCCATTGATGCCTGGCTCTGTTTCCAGTGTGACCTTGAACTCACAGAGATCCATATGAATCTCGGCCTCCAGAATATTAGAATTAAAGGTGTGTGCTACTACTGCCTGACCTCTATGTTTAACATAGTGGCTGTTTCTTTTCTTCTGATCCCTAGATAAGCTATAATGGGATGCACAAATAAAATATCACTACAATTATCAGTGGATCATCCTCCAAAGATGGAGTGAGTGGGTGAAAGCTGTTCCAAACGCTGTCACACAGGAACAGGGACCAGAGGGCTGAAAGCATGGGACTCATGATACTCAGAACTGGGTCTTTCCATAATGCCAAAAGGTGAGAAATCATGGTTGAGATGATGTGAATCCTCACTCTTGGGAAATTACCAGAAGAGGTAGGGGGCTTACTGATTATGGAATGAGTATTGAAAGTTCCAGAGATCCCGGTGCATCTGAGAGTGCTCATAGGCAGGAAAAAGTACAAGGAAGGCCTCTGCCAAGTCGTATAGTACCAATGTTATTAAATGACAGGTGGGAGGACTTAGCGGGGTGGACCAAGGTGCCCCAGTGGGTGAGGGAGACACAACATGCAGAAGATGTGGTGGTGGGTTGTGACATGGAGCAATGGAAAGTTACACATAACGTGCAGACAAATGTCCACATGGAAAGTTTATTATTCAGTGGAGAGAGTGAAGAGAGAGAGAGAGAGAGAGAGAGAGAGAGAGAGAGAGAGAAGTGTACCTCTTCTGGCAAGAGGGGGGAGAGGGAGAGAGTAGAAGGGGAGTTTTTTTTTAAAGAGTCTTTATATAAGATGATGTCAGGATGCTGGGTGAGTCCCCAAGTGGTGGTTCAGAATACTAACAAGGGAGATCCATGTGTCCACCTTAGAGCCCTCCTTGTTACTTAGTCTTTCTGTGTCTGTGGGTTGTATCATAATTATCCTTTACTTAATAGCTAATGTCCACTTATAGATGAGTGAATACCATTTTTTTTTCTTGGTCTGAATCAGGATTACCTCACTCAGGAGGAATTTTTTCTTTTTCTTTTCTTTTCTTTTCTTTTCTTTTCTTTTCTTTTCTTTTCTTTTCTTTTCTTTTCTTTTCTTTTCTTTTCTTTTCTTTTCTTTTCTTTGAGACAGAGTTTCTCGGTGTAGTTTTGGTTCCTGTCCTGGATCTTGTTCTGTAGACCAGGCTGGCATGGAACTCATAGAGATCCACCTGCCTCTGCCTCTTGAGTGCTGGGATTAAAGGTGTGTGCTACTGCCACCTGGCTGAGGATTATTTTTTAGTTTCAACCATTTGCCTGTAAATTTTATGATGTCATTTTTTTCTAACAACTGAATATTACTCCATTGTGTAAATGTACAAATTTTATTTATTTATTCTTCTGGGTATATGCCCCAAAGTGCTATAGTTTTCTGAGAAACTGCCATATTGATTTCCATAGTGGCTGTACACCTTTGCACTCCCACCAGCAATGAGGAAGTGTTTCTCTTGCTCCACATCCTCACCAGTATGAGCTGTCATTTGTGGTTTTGTTCTTAGCCATTCTGACAGGTGGAAAATGGAATCTCATAGTCGTTATGATTTGCATGTCCTGATGGCTAAGGATGGTGAACACTTTTTAAAGTGTTTCTTGGTCATTAGAGATTACTGTGTTGAGAATTCTCTGTTTATAGCTATACTATATTTTTAATTGGATTATTTGGTTTGTTGATGTCTTGTTTTTCAAATTCTTTATATATTTTGGATATTAGCTCCTTATTGGGCTTGGAGATGGTGAAACTTCTTTCCCATTTTGTAGACTGCCATTTTGTCCTAGTGACAGTGTACTTTGCCTTGCAGAAGCTTTTCAGTTTCATGAATTATATTTATTAATTGTGTATTGTAGATCTCTCCTAAACAGTAGCTTAAACCTTAGACATATTCATCATAAGGTACACAGTGTAGCTAGAGTTTTCCTGCCTGGCCCACAGTCTGGACAAATCTCTCTCACCTGCCAGTCCCACAGCCCCTCAGACCCAACCAAGTAAACACAGAGACTTATATTGGTTACGAACTGTATGGCCATACCAGGCTTCTTGCTAACTGTTCTTACAGCTTAAATTAATCCATTTCCATTAATCTATACCTTGCCACGTGGTGCGTGGCTTACCGGCATCTTTACATGCTGTTTGTCATCGTGGTGGCTGGCAGTGTCTCTGACTCAGCCTTCCACTTCCCAGCTTTATTCTCCTCCTTGTCCCGCCTATACTTCCTGCCTGGCCACTGGCCAATCAGTGATTTATTTATTGACCAATCAGCAACACATTTGACATACAGACCATCCCACAGCAACACAGTTTCTTTGCTTTGAAACTATTTTGTTCTAGATGTTTGGTAAAGGCTGTTAATCTTATTTTCAGCATTTTGTTTGCTTTTGGAACTTTCAAGGCATTCTGGTTTTTCTTTGTTTTGTTTTTCATTGTCTTTGAAATGTTTTGATTTTTAATCATTTGGCTTTCATCTCCTGATATTCCTTCTCAAATGCATAATTCTGCATTTTTCTGCTGCTTCTCCCGTGACCTTGCCAGGTCTTTAGGTTAGGAATTCTTTGAGTGCCTGCTGATAAGGACATAGAAGAGAAAAGGCACATATTCCTTACTGTCAGGTCAAAAGGGCACTCCAAAAGTCAGTGCATAACTCCAGAAATGACAGTCTTATCTCAGCTCACACTGGAGTGTAGGGTAGCTGGCAGATGCTTTTAGCATTCCTCATGAACCTGTGAACTGGTTTCTGTGTGCATAAAGCCACTTCCCTTTCTCCCCTTCCCCTGGCAGATAAGGCAGAAGCCTTCCAATTGACAAGTAACTATGGTGTACAACAAATCCAAGGGCAGCCACCAGATTCCTCTGTTCCTTATTTGCATCTCAAAGTCCATGTTAGAATCCTGGCCTTTCCCACCTCCTCCTCTAACTTAAACTCCTAGGCTCTGCCAGTTCATAGGCAGGCTTCCCTTTCCTTAGCTACTCATCTTCCTTATAACCTTCATGAATTTTCCATCCCCTTTAATAATCTCTCTATTCTCTGTCTTGCTAATCTAGCTTCTGTCTGTACCTCACCTTCAGAGATAGTCTTGGCAGTTTTGAATAAACTTTTTCCACCCAAGGAGGGGCTGTTTTTGTAGTTTCTTTGCTGCACCCTTGCTTATATCTCCTACTCCAATGTTTGGAGGTGTCAGATAGACCAAACAAAACCCATTACTCAGACAGAAGGAACTGTATTGGCTCCCTAGGAAGACACACATGAGAAATTGTTCACCTAGTGTCTTGAGTCCCCTCACATTTTCATAAATGTACAGAATAACCCCAGACCTCATGGATAAGAAGGCTTTGAATGAAATAAAGAAATAAAGGGAAAGGGAAAGGATGTGATTGCTCCTAGGTATGGTAGAGGAGAAAGTTTATTGCAGATAAAAGGGAGAACATAGCCAGAGTGACAGACATATCTAGGAGAGTCCAGAGTGGACATGACCCTGAGAGGAGCTGCTGACCAAGAGGAGCACCCTGGGCTAAAGACTGACCAAGAGAGTGGCAAAGCCAAATTGACTGGATTATATGAAAGGACAGATGGGGGAAGGGCAGCTCAGCCCCTAGGGTGGAGAATTTAAGGGTAGGGGGATGGGCATGCATTATATCCTTCAGGTAAAGACTGAAGGATGCTGGGAGAACCTGGTGGCCAGGTCTTCTTTGATATGTTAAATAGACATGTCATCCATTTGTCCCAGGGTTTGAGATTTAACAGGCCTCAGGGTAAAAGCTGAGAAAGTTGATCCCCAAAGCAGCACAAAAAATTGATCCAAAACACATTTCCTAGGTAATATAGACAGGCAGTTTTTCAGAAGAAAAGTAAAACCTACCTACAAATATGGGGAACAAAGTTTCCCAAAAGGAGGAAATATTGAGATATAAGACTGCCACCAGGCTGGCCACACTAGTGGAAGCCCATGAACTGTGGACTGGTGGCTGTGGAGCCCCCATGGGACTGGACTAGGCCCTCTGGATACGGAAGACAGTGGTTTGGCTTGAACTGTTTGAGGGGCACCAAGGCAGGGGGATCAGGATTTGTCCCTGGTCTATGGGCAGGCTTTTGGAACCCAGTGCTTGTGGTGTGACACCTTGCACAGCTTTGGTGCAGTGGGAAGGGGCTTGGTCCTGCCTAGGCTCAGTGTGCTGGGCTCTGCTGACTCCCCATGGGAGACCTTGATTTGGGGGATGTGGGGATGTGGATTGGCTTGGGAAAGAGGGTTGGGGGGTGGGAGGAGGGAGGAGGGGGCATCTGTGGATAGTATGTGGAGTGAGTAGAAAATTTCCTAATAAAGAAAAATGAAAGAAAAAAAAAAGACTGTCGCCAGGTACTCTAGCTGGCTTTATCATGTAGTGAGTTACTGAACTATATTTGTGCCTCTCATGGAAGTATTTCTAAGAATACTTTAAGTGCTAAAACTATCTTGGATAAAATTGGTTTCTGGACCAGTTCTAAATTCCTGTACAATGTGATTTTGAATTAAAGGTTAACTGCCTGACCATTTAACTGTTATCTCTCAGCTTCTGTAAACAATGCTTGTTTTCTATATACATCACAACTGAGGGGTTTTTTGCCCTTGAAAACTCAAACTAACTTTGGGTTCAAAGCAGCTTCCCATTAATCTGCTTGGGACAGTCCCACTGGTATTAACAAAGACTCCACTTGACTTATTCAGGGCTCTTGGGAGTTTCTCTCTTTAGGTACTTCATAACAATATGTGGTAATCATTAACATGCATGTATTTAGAAAAATGGAGAAATCTAAAGATAACCTAAACATTTGCTATTGAAGTAAGAAAAATATATTTGCTAAATTCTGAACCAACCTTGAACTGAAACTCAAGTCAGCCTGACTCACAGGTTTGCACAGTACTTTATGGAAACCATAACTCACCTGCCATTGTTCTGCATCAGAAACTGCAAGGCTTTCTGCTCCCCTCTCTGATCAAACAGTGATACCATGTGTTAAATCTCAAACTTACAACAAATGGCTGAGGTGCCTATTTAACTTATGAAAGGGATCTAGCTGCCAGGTTCTCCCAGCATCCCTCAGTCCCTACCTGTTACAGGGTATGGGTGGCATACACTGCCCCCTACCCTAAATTTTTCCAACCCAGAGGCTGAGCTGTCTTTCCCTCAGCTGCCCCTCCTTATATAATCCAGCTGTTTTAATTACCCATTATCTTTGAGCATCCTGGCTGCTGTGCCTGGTTCCCTTCTTTCCTTTCCCTCTTCCCGTCCCTGTCTCTTAACTTGACTTAGGGTTATGAACA